GTGACTTCTTATGGACCAGTCTTTGCCTATCTTACATCAAGCTAAACTTGTAACACAGCCCCACCCACCCTCTACAGAGGAGACTGGGAAGCGTCCTCTTCCTGTGTGCCCAGAAGAAGAGAAATTGCACTGTGTCTGTCACAGTACACCCCATTGGTCACCAAACCATCTCATTCTTCTTCCCACACACAGACACATTTATCCCCTTCCCTCAGGAGACAACCCAAAGCGGCATCCAGATCACGCACTCGTCTCCCTCAAGAGTGGGTAGCGATGCTGTGTTCTGATGACTAAGTTGTCTGCCCCCTACCCAACACCCAATGTACAGCGGTGAAGTGGAAACAGCAACATTCCCATTGAGATAAGGGCAGGTGCAGGAGCCTGGCTGTGGAAGTGACAGCTCCTCCCCTTGAGGTCGGCTCCGTGAGGGTTCCCTGCCCTGTCCATTTCCTCCATGGCTCCAGGCTTTGTCCTTCTTTTTCACTATTTTCCCTGACTTCACTTGGAATGTTCCTTGGCACTATCCATTTCTTGGAACTTTCTTCTCACTCATGGAACCCAAAGGGTTGGTTTAAGTCTGCCACAGTCAAAGATGTTTTAGGATGACTTCATGATTTCTGTGGCAGTAATTATCTCAGAAAGCAGGGAGGTCGAGTGAAATAGAGAAAACCTGGGCCTGGGAGGTTTGCGATGCCTGCTAGAAACCTAATTGGATGTAGGAACCTGGCACTCAGGGAGTCATCCAGGCTGGAGGAAGTCACTGGGGAGGCATCCCCATGTAGCTGGCATTTGTCAGGAGGCTCTCACATGTAGACAGAGAGTAGAATAGGTCCAAAGACTGCGCCCTGGGTCACTCCAGAGGCCAGAGATGCACCTGCCAGGAGACAAGAAGGAAGGGCTTTGGTGGCAGGTCAAAATCCAGAGGAGTGGGGTGTCTAGGAAGACAGACACAGAACATGTCTGGAGATGGGGGGGTTTGCTCCATGAACTCAATGGTGCTGACAAGTCAGTAAGACAAGAACTGAGGACTGACACCTGAGCGAGGTCATTCTGACTTTGGAAAGAGCAGTTTCCATGGAGTCGTGGAGCAAAAGTCCAATTGAGGGCTTTCCATTGACAGGAGAGGAGGGAGGGGAGTGAACATCACCGTGGACCGAAGAGTCTCACTGGGAAGGGGAGCAGACACAGGTCCAGTGCACAGGTCAGTGCTCGCCCAGAGCACCCTGAGACAGGCAGGGCTGCGGCTGAAGACACAGGGGGACGAGAGGGCCAAGCTGAGGGAAGTGAAACTAGAGCCAGCTCTGCAGCTGAGATGAGGCTAAGGAGGCATTTTGGAGGGTTGGGGAGAGGGGAAATGAATGCAGTCGTGATCTGGGCAAATGGGCAAGTGTAGGGACCAGGGAAAGGTGTGATCGCTGGGCAGCAGGAAGGGCCACTTGATGTGCGTGGTCATGCATTGAAGGAGAGACCACCCATCGTGGCTGTGTGTCTTTCTTCAGCCAAGCACAGCCGGTGCGCATTGGCAGGAGCAGGCAGAGAACTGATGGGACCAAGGTTGGAGTTTTTGCCACCTTTGTCTCCCCTGGTTCTCAGATCTTCAGGGTTGAACTGGAACAACACTGCCTGCTTTCCTGGGCCTCCAGGTGGCAGGTCATGGGATTCCTCAGACTCCATAATTGCATGAGCCAATCTCTCAGAATAAATCTCTCTATGTGTCTATATCTGTCCATTGGTTCTGTTTCTCTGGAGAACCCTAACACAGGGCATGTGGGGAGGGAAGGGGTGTGACTGTGGCTGACTTAGGGAGCGGGGAGAGGGAAATTCTGGAATTGCAAGGAGGACCCAGGAGGAAAGCTGGCTCCTGCTGGCTTAGAGGCGAGGGTACAGCAGCCCCTGAGAGGCCCCAGGAGCAAGAGTGCCCTCAGGAGCCAGCCAGGTGTGGGTTGGGGCATGAAAGTGAAGAGAACATTCACAGAAGAGGCTGCAAATGCAGACACCTGGGGATCTGGGTGGGGCAGGAAATGGGTCCAGAAGGCTTGAGGGGTGGGGGTGCTGTGTAGTAGTGAATGCATTTGTTCCTCATCAGATAACAAGAAACTCCCTCAGAACCTCAAGACGACTCCTGACGCCAAGGCCCAGCACCTCTCCATGATCCAAGCTGCTCAGAGGGAAACAGGAATTGCTATCCACCTTTGGGTTCCAGAAAACTCTGGGTCTTCCATCACCTTTTCTTTTCTATCTAAAACCCTTTATTAGTGTTTTTAGCCCTTCTGGGCTCACCCATCTCTTCAAAATGGTGAACAAAATCTATGGATTTTTTTTCCAGAAAAATGCACATATCCACAAGGCCTCACTTGCCATTTCCAGGGGTCAGGGACTCTGAATCCCAAACAAAGCCCTCAGGGTGACTCCTGCCTGAAGGCCTCCAACATTCTTGGAGGTTGAGCTGAGGGGAGCTGGAAGTTGGGCCTGAAACAGGAAATGGTAACTGGCCCTGAAGCAACCCTCAAAACAGCATCCAGTTATTAAGAGCTAAGTGACTGAACCACCACTTCCCCACCTCACTGCCTTGTCGCAGTCTCCCTCGGCTGTGGCCTGGACACCCGGACACACCTGGACACCCGGACAAAGGAGGAGGCATTCGAATGGAAACGTGAGGAGCTGGCCTCCAAGCCGGGAGCCTCTGGTGAGGCATTGCCACGTGCAGCTCAGTCCCCACTCAGGGCTCCTAAACGTACCTCCTGCTGCACCCACAAGGCACTAAGTAGGTCGCCTGGCCTGCTCAGGAGCCCTTCGCAAGTGAGTCATCAATCAGCTGCTCAGCGCAGTCTGGGAAGCCTCCAGGGGCTCCCCTTTGTTGAACACAAAACAAAAGCCAAAATGCTAGGCCTGGCTGGGGTGCAGCTAGGATCTCTGCAAGGGGAGTCCCTCCAACGGATGCTTTACACTCTTTTTGAATCTCCAAATTAACCACCATCTCTCGCTTGACACAGTTTCTTATGCCTGTGAAGAAGGCAGAAAGGGCAGCCATCCAGCGGCCCCAGGCTCCAAAGTGAGTGACCCCTACAAGGCAATTGGGTGTAGCCAAAGGGAACCCATGTGTTCTAGGAGGTCTGTGACACCCAGGGGAACTCTCAGAGCCTTGAATCCACTGGCCAACAGCGTCCCTAGTCCCCCAGGAGGACCTGGCTTTCCCTGTCCTTTCTGCATTTGATGCTGGAGAGACCCAGACTTTGTTTTAAGCTCGCTTCCTTCCCTGGAAAGGAAACAATCCATTTGCTTCCTCCCTCTCCCTGCTGTTCACTTTAGAAATATGGGAACTGTCCAAACCACAGTAAAGGTAGTCCTTAACACTATGAATGACACAAGAGTGAGGACCAGCCAAGTAAAGCAGTGCTCTTAGTCATTATTGGTGAGGCTCAGTGGTTGAGTATTGACCTATGAACCAGGAGGTCATGGTTTGATTCTAGGTCAGGGCACATGCCTGGGTTTCGGGCTCTATCCCCAGTGGGGGGAGGGGGGAAAGAAGAAGGGGGGAGGGAGGAGGGGGGAAGGGGGTGTACAGGAGGCAACAGATCGATGATTCTCTCTCATCATTGATGTTTGTAGTTCTCTCTTCCTCTCCCTTCCTCTCTCTGAAATCAATAAAAATACACACACACATTTATATATATATTTTAAAGTTTGCTTAGGCTGGAGAGCCGAGAAAGTGGGATCCTTTGTGTTCAGATGACAATTGCGAGGCCCAATTTCCAGGCACTTGCTGTAGATTGCCATCACCCACATAGAACAGGATCTCTTCCTAGATGAATCGGGACCATGTTGTCTACTCTGGTTGGGCTCTTTCCATAGTAAGAGTCTTAAGTTACTAAAAAGAAAAAAAGAGGGTTTGTTTTAAGGTCACCCTTGCCGAGTGAGAATTGATGAGGGACACTCTCAGGGTTGTGGGTCCTCTGCATGCTGGTTGGCAGGACCCTTCTCCCTGGACACCCTTCACTGGGTGCTCCTCTCTCCTCTGCCCAGCTTCCCTGCTGCTCACAGGTCCTGCTTGCTCAGCGGGAGCCCACTGCCCTCTCCAGACCTCTGCACATCAGATCTTGCAGACTGCCTCATTCTCTTCATCTCTTGGCTCCAGTCCCCAAGAGAGAGATGTGCACTGGCCCTGGTATTAGTTTGCTCAGGCTGCTGTAACAACATTGCACAGACTGGGTGGCTTAAAATAACAGAAACGTGTTATCTCACAGTGGAGATCCAACACCATGTGGGTGGTGGGAGAATTTGGGGGTCCCCATGTGCCCTCACTTCTTTGTGCTACACTGAGTTCTGGTTGCCGAATGTGACTTCCAGAACTTCTGCTGGGAGGGTCGTGCCATATTTCAGCTGGTGCCTACATCATGGGAGCGCTACCTGGCTTTCCAGCTCTGTTCTAAGGTCTCAGGATGAACAGAGGAACCCAAATTCCCAGCAACCTTTGAGTGAGACACTCCCCTTCTGTTTTGCGGGGGATTTTTAAAAATATATTTTTATTGATTTCAGAGAGGAAGGGAGAGGAAGAGAGAGGTAGAAACACCAGTGATGAGAGAGAATCATTGATTGGCTGCCTCCTGTACATGCGCCCACAGGAGATGGAGCCCACAACCTGAGCATGTGCCCTGACCAGGAGTCAAACCATGACCTCCTGGTTCATTGGTTGACACTCAACCACTGAGGCACACCAGCCAGGCTGGCTGGGGATGTGTATGTTCCAGCTCCTCCAGAACCTCTGGGGGCTGCTCATCAAGTCCCACTCTGTGGTGTTTCCAATTATCGATGAATGGTTTTGGACCTCCATGCACTGGGATCACCACACCCTTGGGAGTGACCAGCTCTCAACAGCTACAGTCCCTAGGCCAGTGGTCGGCAAACTCATTAGTCAACAGAGCCAAATATCAACAGTACAACGATTGAAATTTGAGAGCCAAATTTTTTAAACTTAAACTATATAGGTAGGTACATTGTTATTAACTTAATTGGGGTACTCCTAAGGCTTAGGAAGAGCCACACTCAAGGGTCCAAAAAGCCTCATGTGGCTCGCGAGCCGCAGTTTGCCTACCACGGCCCTAGACCAACATCACAAGACCTTTGTTGCTTAGCAATAACTTGGGCTGGCCTCATTCTCCTGGGGGAAGGAGGGACACAAGAGTTTCACAGCTGATTTTGACCTTGTTGCATGATTATGGGCTAGACAGCTTTGCCACAGAAGTTGTGGGTGGGGGCAGGCACTGCGGAGGCACACTACACACTATCATTATGTTGTATGAGATTTAAAAATAATTTCAGTCACTTCAACAAGCTGCCAATGAGTTGGCATTTCCCTACAAGGTACCAGTGACCCCTATTTAGGACCCTTGGAGGAACACACACTGCTTCCCCAAGCGTGATCTCATTGATCCCACAGACAACCCTGGAGTCTGGTTTTAGAAAAAACTAGGCAGAGACATTTAAGTGATTTGTTCAGTGTAACAGGGCAAGAATAAGTACCTTCATTTCCTAACTTCTAACCATATTCTCGCCTGCAGTTTGATGTGAGCAGGGAGATGTGTCCACACGGGGTGATTCCTCCAGCACTGGAAGATGAACGACATCAATAAATGAATAAGAAGGTCACCCACTTATGCCTCCAGTCTCCCTGGTGGCCTGTCTTGGCTTCCTTGTTATCTTCATTAGAAATCACTTGCTTTCTTCGGTGCTTATTACACAACATTATGCTGGGGGCGGGGGATGAATAATTAATTCCCAGGCTAGGCTGTCCCTTTGTCCCCAGCACTTTGCATCCTCCCTGCCTTTCTCCTCTGGAGATCAAACTCTTATCCCTTTTCTTAGTGTCCTTTGATGCATGCCTTTATGTCTGAAGGGATGTGCTTGTCAGTTCCGTTCTAAGGACCAGGAAATGACCTCAATCCCTGCTTCTGTAAGGATGAGGTTGGAGGGAGGCAGCCCAGCAGCCTCCCCTGCACCCCTTTGTTTGTTTACATGTTTGCATCATCAGTTTTCAGCACTCATTGTCCTATAAGTGAAAATAGGACCCTTATTTTGACAGCTGGCTGTGTCTTTGATACTGGAAGCTGTCATTTGGAAGAGGGGGGGACGAGAGCAGATGAGCAGCAGCTGGTCTGTGCGGCAGCCGCCCCTGAGTGCAGCTGTGGGTGTCTAGAGTGGGATTTGGGGCATTTGTGTCTGTTTTGTGTTTTGCCCAATTCCCTGGGCTGGATATCATTAGGCTGCAAGCACCATGCTCTGTTTTGTTAGCTACAAGTTCCCAGAACCAGGGAAGAGGGAAGGAGAGAGAGCAAAAAGACGAGGAGAGGACAAGAAAGGAGACCAGCAGAGAGCTCTCCGAAGGTGGGTCAGAGTGAAGTGAAGGCCCTGACTTGGAGGAGAGAAATCCCAGGAAGAAAAGGGGGAAAACGAAGTGGAAATGGGTGCTTGGTGCATGGATGGACTGGTGGCTGGAGTTGAACTCTGTCTTAGTCCATTCAGGCTGTTAGAAGAAAATACCACAGACTAAGTGGCTCATAAACAACAGACAGGTATTTCTCACTGTCTGCAGGGGGGAAGGAAAGGTCAGGGTGCCAGCATGGTTGGTTTCTGGTGAGAGCCTTCTAGGTTGCAGACAGCTGGCATTTTGCTTTGAACTCACATGGTGGAGGGACGGGGCAAGGAAGCTCTCTGGGTCTCCTCTTATGAGGACACTAATCCCAGTCATAGGGGCCCCACCCTCATGACCCAAGCCACCTAAAGATCTTGCCTCCTAGAAACATCACATTGGGGGTTAGGGTCTCAACGTCAGAGTCTATTGCCCAGAAATTTCTATTGGGGACCCTGGCTGAGAATATGGCTCACTCATTCAACATCTCCACTGAGCTCCTCCCTGGATGGAGAAGACAGTGTCCTGGGCACCAGGAACACAGCAGTAAGACAGATATGGCCTTGCTCTCCTGGAAGAAAACATTCTATGAAGAGTGTTATTCAGTAGTAAGAGTTAGGATTGGTTGCAAAATTTAGCATTTATTACGAGTCCCAGAACCCACCTCTGAGCTAGTGACTTCATTCTCAACCCGATTATTAATGTTTTGCCTTCACCATATTTGACTCAGGAACAAGATGGGACTGTGTTTGTGGGCAGAAGAGCATCTCTGGACACAGCTGAGAAAACTGGCAAGAAGCCTCAAGCAGGTATGTGCACACTTGTGTTCACAGTGGCATTATTCACTGTGTTATTCCAAGGGAGGAAACCACCCAAATGGCAGCAGTGGATGAATGGATAGACACAATGTGGCCTATGCATAGAGGGGACTATGATTCAGCCCTGACATGAAGGAGGTTCTGACACATGCCACACAAGGATGACTCTTGAGGACGCCGTGCTAACTGATAACATTGAAATAAGCTTAGAGCGAGCTTCCCCGCTGATTCTGGTACAATGGGTTTTCTTTCCACGGGGTATTAAATGCTGCCCCACGCCTGCTTACTTAGCCCCATGGTTCCAAAAGTGTGGTCTGTGGACTGGCAGCAGCATCCCCCGGGTCCTAATTAGAGAACCAGAGTCTTGGGCCCCCACCCAGATCTGCTGCATCAGATACTTTCAGGGTGGGGCCCGGCAATCGGCTTTGACAGGCCTTTAGGTGGTTCCAATTTACACTGACGTCTGAGAACCATGAGCGATATCTTTTTTTTCCCCCAAATGTTTTTTTATTGATTTCAGAGAGAGGAAGGGAGAGAGAGAGCTAGAAACATCAATGATGAGAGAGAATCATGGATCAGCTGCCTCCTTCACGCCCCCTACTGGGGATCGAGCCAGCAGCCTGGGCATGTGCCTCCTGGTTCACAGGTCGACGCATAACCACTGAGCCACGCCAGCCAGGCTTGAGCGAGATCTTTTGACAACTCCTATTTTTGCTGATGTGCCGATGACTAAACCCAGAGCTCTGGGACAGTCAGATATGTCGTTTCCCCATGTATGCGACCAATTACTGCAGAAACGCACCATTTATCTCCTCTTTGATGTTGGCCTGGAAATGTGATTTGTATACAGTATTACTGGGGTTGGAAAAATTAATGAAAAGTATCAGAAATACTGTGGCCCCAGAGGCCACACCTAGCATCATTCCTAGAAACTTCAAGGAGGCAAATTTTGGCTTCATGAAAAGGAAAATCTTCCTTCCAGTTGGAGGGCTCTGGCCACGGGACGGGTTTTCCTGGGAAGCGGTGGACTCTCACTGGAGGTGTTCCATCTGGACGCCGTGAGGAAATCTAAGAATGAACTGAACCAGCCAAGGTTCCCATCTGCCTGACTGAACAATGTTGGTATCAGAACCACCTGGGGTTATTAAAAATGAATTCCGGAGTCCCACTCACAAAGATCCTGATTTGTTGCAGCTGGGGTGGGACTCCGGCATTGCACTGACTCACAGGAGATTTTGAAATGCTAGCTCTGAGGATTACTAAGCCGGGTATATTTGATGTCCCTTTCCAATTCTATGACCATGCGAAAGAGGATAGAAAGGTTAGCTTCTAACGGCTGGGCAAAGAGAAAAGATGGCAGAATTTTCTCCTTCAGATAAGAAGTTTATATCAGCAAGTCATATGGAAGGTGGTATTTTCACCTCTGTCAAGGGCACCCACAAGAAATGAGTCTAGACTACAGCAGAAAGGATTTGGAAAAGGCAGAAAAATGTCTTAGCAACGAGGACAATGAAACATTAGGATCAGCTAAAGGAGTTGATTGTGGAAGATTCTTTTTGAGAGATTGCTCAAACCAGGAGGACTTCTCATCTGTCTGGGCCATCACTGGGCATGGTTTTAAACCCCGATGCTGACGTTCCAATTCACACAACAGCATAGTAAACGGATGCGTACTGTTTCCCCCACGCTCGCAGAAGAGCCATAATGAAAGCGTCCCTCATCGTTAGGTTACTAATAAAACAACCAGCAAGTGGTAAACAGGTAAAATATTCATACACTCATAAGACCTGGTTAATAGGAGCACAGCCCAGTTTCTTATGGACCAACCCAGCACTTAATCCCCTGTGGATGATTTCAGCTTTTGACTGAGCCTTCATTCATCCATGGGCACCAAGTGTCTGGCATGGAAATGAAGAAAGAAACTTCTACCAGCCCACATCTTTCTGTGGCTCTGATGTTGAGATACAGTTGGAGTTAGACATCAAGGCCAAGTGCTGAAAAGGGATCTGAACGCGAAAAGGATGGCAGGAAGGAAGTCTGAACAAACACAGATAAGAATAGCAGCTGGAGAGCACAGGCCCCACCCTGGATGCCACGTGAGGTGCTGACATGGAGCCAGGGCAGGGACGAGGGACCCAGAGGTGACCCTGGCTGGGGGTCCGGCCAGAGGAGATGCAGACATCACTGCATGTCTTAAGTATTTCTGCTTCAGGAAACAGTCCTAGGGAGACCCTGGTACTTTTCCCTCTCTTTGAGTTGGAGGCAGATGTAGCGCTTATAAAAACCCGTCCAAATTGTCCCGAAGTAGGAAGACCCGTTTTGTTCAGGAGCACGTCTACAAAGTGCAGCACAGCTGGTCCTGGAGCCTGGTGACTTGGATTAAAACCTCCCTCTCCCACTTGACCACTGTCAAGTTTCTTTACATTTCCAGGCCTCCGTTTCCTTATTTGGAATATGAAGGCCCTAAATGAAGACCTCCCAACACCATGCTGACACCTGGCCCAGGCCTGTGACCAGGTTTTTAGCATTCCTTGGCAGAATGGGGGAAATAAGGGCAATGACACATGCATGTATGTTGGCATCGGCTGCCAATGGTTTTCTGCCATCTCAAGTGCGCACTGTCCTTTGCTTTTGGAAATAACGAGCTTAATAGAGGGTCCTTTTAGTTTCATGTTTTTTGCAGATTTAAGTTTAAGTTTGTCCTCCTTTATTTTTCCCCTCCTGATTCATGAAATCCAATAGTTTGAGAACCATTCTTCTAAAAGGTGTGAGGAAGTAGAAAGAGGAGTGGGCAGGGCTCTCACTCAGTGAACCTGCCTGATTCTGCAAGGGCATGAATTTATACCAACACAGGCTTCTCCTCCTGCTTCTCACGGTCTTCCTTCTTTTTCTCCTGTTCCTTGGCGAATTTCTCCCTCTCCTTGAGTATGTTTCTAACCTTATTCTCTCTATTGCTTTTGCTTTAGCCCTTGAAGTGCAGCAGAATATGCCCTTGCCCCCAACACATGCCATGTTGGCATAGGAATTATTTTGAGCTAACGGCAACTGAGGAGAGGCAGATACAAGAACCCCTCCTCCCATTCACCTAAGAGCAGGACACAGTTTGTAGAGGTCTCCCTTCTCTCTCTACCAGGAAGGATAGAAGTTAATTGCTGGAGATAACGCTAGAGGCTAGGGTAGGCCCTCACCGAGACCCATCCCAGGAACCTACAGAACAGACTTTGCTAACTAGTCCCTATCTTCTTTAATTCCTCCATATACTTCCACCCCGGAAACTCAAAGACCTTTTTCTTTGTCTTGTCACTACTATAAACATTTCTTTTTCTTTTGTTAAGATGCTATATGAGCCTGGCTGGTGTGGCTCAATGGTTGAGTGTCAACTATGAACCAGGAGGTCACAGTTTGATTCCTGGTCAGGGCACATGCATGGGTTGTAGGCTTGATCCCTAGTGTGGGGCATGCAGGAGGCAGCTGATCTGTGATTCTCTCTCATCATTGTTGTTTCTATCTCTCTCTTCCTCTCCGAAATCAATAAAAAAAATATTAAAAAAAATAAACTCCTGATTGTATTTGTTTAATATTTTTTGTCAGTCTAATTTACAAGGCTCAGCCAATGAACCCACAAGGGCAGAGGGAGAAAAAGTTATGTTTTCTCTCCTACACCCTTTAAGCTATTCCCCCACCCCCCTTTTGGCTTTCTCCTGGCTTCGTTCCCTCCCCCTCACACATTTCATGTCTATTCCTGTTTTTGTTCCTGATTTTTTTTTCTAGCCACAGGTGCTGCATCCCGATGTGTGCCCCTCAGCCAGGTGACTGGGTGGAGGACACGCAGGTGCTGTGCGCTGTGGGGCAGACTCTGCCATGTCCCCTCCAGGTGGAGGTCGTGCTGGGAACAGAACAAGTGAGGCAGCCCAGATTGATCTCCCTGTCCCCAGACAGTGGCATGTCATTAATTGAGAAGCTCCCTCTTAGCACCAGAGTTTGGATGGCTGCCCAGATCCCTTCCGACCACAGGGGCACACTTTGGGCAATGACTTTGAGAGAGAGGCTGGGCTCTGCACAGACTCAGCAACACAGCCAAGGGACAGATATGAATCCATGATGTTAGCAGTTCCCTTGAAATGTGTGGGGAGACATTTCTCCTCTTAGAGAGCCAGTGTGGCTAACCAATCCTGGTTTGCCTGGGACTGCCCTGGTTTCACACTGAAAGTGCCACGTTTTGGGGAGCCCCGGCACACTGGGGCAGGTGGTTCCCTTAGAGCAGTGGTTCTCAACCTTGGCTGCACATTAGAATCACCTGGGAATCTTTTTAAAATCCTGATTTCTGGGCCTCATCCTCCCGAAATTCTGTTTCTTTGTTACTAATGTTGTGGCCCCAACCCATAACAAAGAAACAGAATTTCCAGAGGATGAGGCCCAGAAATCAGGATTTTAAAAAGATTCCCAGGTGATTCTAAATGTGCAGCCAAGGTTGAGAACCACTGCTAGAGCCAGGAGTGACCAGCCCTCTACTGGACTATTTGTCCGTCATTTGGCACAGGTAGGCCTTGTTCAGAGAATGAAACCAATCCAAGAGATTAGGGTCACTTAACCCAGAGCAGGAAGGGGAAGCTGGTGCCGGGTGGGGGGGTGGGGGGGGGTGGAGGGGGTTAATGGTATTTGGTGACAACCTTCACGTGTGTTCACTGGGTGAGCTAGAGTGTGTGTCCTGCTGCTGTCTGTCCATCTCCACCCAAGCTCAGAGCCTGAGGAAGTGGGTGTGAGTGGAGCTTGAACTTACTCACCACGCCGAATTTCCTGACGGGGAGTATTCTTAGACACTAGAATGACTTTCTAAGACAGATGAGGTATTGTGCTTGGAGGTCTTCAGCACAGCGCGTTCCTAAGGGCTTTCCGAGTTTAGGTGTGGCCAAGAGCTGAGGAGATGGATGAAACACGTTTCCCAGGCTCCTTCCAACTCTGGGATTCTGTTTCCACCCATCCGTATTTTA